CCCCCCCCCCCCACACACAACTCCTTTTTGGGTCAGGGCCTCTACAATTACAACACCATGAAATTTCAGATTTAAACAGCTGAAATAATGAAATTTACGATTTTAAGAATCCTATGACTGTGAAATTGACCAAAATGGACCGTGAATTTGGTAGGGCCCTAACCATGATCATCTAGTTTGACCCCCTGCACATTGCAGGCCACTGTACCTCACCCACCCATTCCTTAAATAGACCCATAACCTCTGGCTTTTACTGAAGTTCTCAAATCATGATCTGAAGACTTCAAGTTAAAGAGAATCCACCATTTACACTAGCTTAAGCCTGCAAGTGACTCGCGCCCAATGCTGCAGCGGAAGGCAACATCCCCCCAGGGGGGGGGGTCTGCCAATCTGAGCAGGGGAGAATTCCTTCCCGACCCCAACTATGGCAATCAGTTGTACCCAGAGCATGTCGGCAAGACCCACCAGACAGACACCTGGTAAAAAATTCTCTGTAGTAACTCAGAGCCCTCCCCATCTAGTGTCCCATCACTGGCCATTGGGGATTTTTGCTACTAGCAGTCGCAGATTTGCTACATACCATTGCAGACAGTTTCATTAGACCAGGGGTAGGCAACCAATGGCACGCGTGCCAAAGGCGGCACGCAAGCTGATTTTCAGTGGCACTCACACTGCCTGGGTCCTGGCCACCAGTCCAGGGGGCTCTGCATTTTAATTTAATTTTAAATTAAGCTTCTTAAACATTTTAAAAACCTATTTACTTTACATACAACAATAGTTTAGTTATATATTATAGACTTATAGAAAGAGACCTTCTAAAAATGTTAAAATGTATTACTGGCACGCGAAACCTTAAATCAGAGTGAAAAAATGAAGACTCGGCACACCCCTTCTGAAAGGTTGCCGACCCCTGCATTAGACCATCCCCTCCATAAACTTGTCAAGCTCAATCTTGAAGATAGTTAGGTTTTTTGCCCCCATTGCTCTCCAGAACTTCACTCCTCTGATGGTTCGAAACCTTCGTCTAATTTTGAACCTAAACTTGTTGATGGCCAGTTTATATCCATTTCTTCTTGTGTCCATATTGGCACTTGAATAACTCCCCTCCCTCCCAGGTATTTATAGAGAGAAAACACATCTCCCCTCAGCCTTTGCTTGGTTAGGCTAAACAAGCCAACCTCTTTGACTCTCCTCTCATAAGGTAGGTTTTCCAGTCCTCTGATCATCCTAGTAGCCCTTCTCTGCACCTGTTCCAGTTTGAGTTCATCTTTCTTAAATATGGGAGACCAGAGTTGTACACAGTATTCCAGATAAGATCTCACTAGTGGTTTGTATAATTGTACTAACACATCCCTGTCTCCACTGGAAATACCTCACCTGATGCATCCCTCGACTGCATTAGCTTTTTTCATGGCTGCAGTACATTGATGGTTCATAGTCAACCCGGGCTCAATCAATAAACCCAGGTCTTTCTCCTCCTCTGTTGCTTCCAATAGATATGTCCCCAGCTTAGAGCAAAAATTCTTGTTGTTAGTCCCTAAGTGCATGAACTTGCACTTTGCACTATTAAATTTCATTCCATTTCTATTACTCCAGTTTTCAAGGTCATCCAGATCTTCTTGTATGATATTCCAGTCCTCCTCCATATTGGCAATACCTCCCAACTTTGTGTCATCTGCATATTTTATTAGCACTCTCTCTCACCTTTTGTGCCAAGGTCATTAATAAAAATGTTAAATAAATGGGTCCCAAGACTGATCCCTGAGGAACACCACTAGTAACCTCTCTCCAGCCTGACAGTTCATCTTTCAGTCTGACCTGTTGTAGTCTCTCCTTTAACCAGTTCCTTATCCATCTTTCAATTCTCATATAAATCCCATCTTTTCCAATTTAACTAATAATTTCCCATGTGGAACTGTATCAAATGCCTTACTTAAATGCAGGTAGATTAGATCTACTGCATTTCCTTTGTCTAAAAAAATCAGTTATCTTCTCAAAGAAAAAGATCAGGTTGGTCTGGCACAATCTACCTTTTGTAAAACCATGTTGTATTTTATCCTAATTACTGTTTACTTCTATGTCCTTAAATACTCTCTCTTTCAAAACTTGTTCTAAGACCTTGCATACAATTGAGGTCAAACTAACAGGCCCTTAGTTTCCCAGATTGCTTTTTTCCCCTTTCTTAAAAGTGGGTACTATATTAGCAATTCTCCAAAATCTGAGTTTATAGATTCATTAAAGTTAAGCATGTGTGTAAGTCTTTGCAGGATTGGAGCTTAAATCTTGAAGTCCTTACTCAGTTTCCACTAAACTCTTACTTGATTTCAGAGGGCCTCAAGTAAAAAGTCTAAGGATTTTGTCTATTAAGTTGTATAAACTATCAAAAACCGTCTCCCCCAGCCCCACCAAACCTAAGTGTTGGGCCTAAAATGACTTGACAGTGTCCCTTTAAAATGAACAACTTATTTTGTATTCGGCATGTTGAATTTAAAGTCTCTTTTAAACTGTTTTTCAGAAAGCGTTTAGAATATTACAGTACTTTATTTGTTCCTCACTCAACAAAATGGATTGTGTTGTGGCCATTTCTCACCTTCCTGCTCTCTTTTTTTCTTCTTCTTCTGTATGATGGATCCTTGATGGGGAAGATAAACTTCGGTTTCTACTAATCAAAGGGCTTTTAATATTCAAGCGCTGCATGTATTTCTTCTCAGCAGCAACATTGCTGGCCACCTCCAATCCCTTGATATAAACTCCAGTGTATCCGTGGCGGTGCAACTCGCTGTGGCTGCTCTCAAGCTGAGTAAACTCAAAGCTTTTCGTTTTCTTCATGATTTTCTTTAGTGGATGTTTTCTGTGGCGGGTAGTTGGTGACTGGACTGGCTCAGAATAGCAGGAGGCTGATCCTGAGGTGGAAACATTGTCCATATCTTCTGAGATTGGGCTAGTCCTTTGAAGCCCACCCAAGAGAGGAGTAAATGTCTGTGGTGGAGATGCATTAAGTTGCACATATACATCCATATTTTGATTGGAGTTCTCATGGTCTAAAAAAGGTGGTACTCCTGATGGCAGGCTCATATGCTGAGGTTTATGCAATGACTTAACATTATTATCCCAAATGTTATTATCAGTGTTAGAAGAGAGTTGAGAAAGGGACTGACTTGGTTGTCTAGCACCTTCAGTATCAAACTCACAGTTAACTTTCGCATCCACTTCCTGGGGGACTTTGCGAGAAGTTTCTTTGTTGGAACCTTTGAGAGCTTCAGAAAGGACCTCTTCTAAATGGTGCCTTGTTTGCTGACATTTTAGCCATAAAATATTCCATTGTTTTAGTTCCTTTTTGCTAGCCAGACCCAATACCATCTCATTCACTTTTTGAAAGTTTTCTGCAGAAACTTTTGTAGCTTCTTGGTGGTAGCTCTGCAAACTCTGAATCACTGATTGAGAGTATTTGTTCTCCACAGTAAGATGTTCAAGATAGTCATTGCAGTGTAACATCCACCCATGTGCCTGGATTAAAAGTGAAAAGTACAGTTAAATAATAAGACTGTGTACTCATATAACACCTTCTGTTTTAGAATCTCAAAGCAATTTACAAATATCAGGGTGAAAGTCAACCTTGTGCAGAGGATCAACAAAAGGCCTGTGCAACATTTAAGTCCCATTTAAGTGCTCATAATAGATCTTAACATGACATAAGTGCTGAATAGGTGTTGTGCTGTCCCTTTACACAGAGGTGAATTTTGCTTCTTATGATATGTCTACACAGCAGTGTAAGCCCAGGCTTGAGCCTGGGCTCAAGCCTAACCCCCCTTGCGTCCACTCACCAATTGTGTTAACCTAGGGCTTGAGCCCAGGATTGGAGGGTCCAAGCCCGTGTTAAGCTGGGACCTAGAGTCCAAGCCTATTGCTTTCCTGTGTGCATGTGGCTCTGGCTGGACTCAGGTCCCAGAAGTTCTCCGGACGTATCCCAAAGTTCCTTGAGACAACTTCCTTCGTCCTCTCTATGCTGACAATCAGTGGTGCAGTCCCAGGGAGGGGCGGGGGGGGAGGGGCGGGAGGGAAAGGAGCAAGGGCTAGAGAATGGAGCTGGGACTAAGCAGCTGCCCTGCTGGGAGTGGCAGAGCTCCTGGCTCAGCACAGCCAGGGGAGGGATGATCCCCAACACCTCAGCTGCTCCAACTCCCTGCAGGGCAGCCGCTTGGTCCTGCTCCACTCTCTGGCCCTTGCTCTCGGGCCCCCCTGTCCTTCCTAGGGCTGTGTGTTGCAGAGGTGCCAGGGCAGCATCGGGGGGCAAGTGTGAGTCAGCCCCAAACTTCCCCACAGCCTCCTGGGGATCCCTTATCCCTATCCCCTGAGGTGTGGTGGGGGCAGGGATAAGGGATCCGGCCCGAGGGGTGCTGGCACACACTGCACCCGGAGCCTTGGGGATGCACTTTACCGCTCTGCAGCCAGCAGCAGCCAGGCTGGGGTGGGTGTGTGTTTTTTCACTGATACCTTCATTTTATGTCAAACTTCAGAACAGACAAAACTAACTAACAAACCAACCAAACAAAAATACTGTCGCTGAACATCCCACTTTAAAAATTAAGAATTGCAAAGTTTCATTGTAATAGTTTGACAGCCCTGGAGACTGATGTGCTAATTATCCTCAGAACAGGTGCACATGGGCATTTTGCTGCCCATGTGACTCAGCCCAGGGCTGGAGAGCCCAATTCTCAGATTAGATGGTAGTTCATATAAAGCCTTCTCAAACTGCCGTCATTCTACCGAGACAGCCACCAAAGGAGCTAACTGTGCAGTTTATGTGTTTGTGCTCCTTATGGGCACCTGCGTGCCATCAACAGCACCACCACAGTTAGGAAACAGGGTGGGCAGTAGAGTTTTCCCACAGTGCAACACATTTGTAGGGCTAGGTCAGTGGCTCTCAACCTTTCCAAACTACTGCTCCCCTTTCAGGAGTCTGATTTGTCTTGGGTACCCCCAAGTTTCACCTCACTTAAAAACTACTTGCTTACACAATCAGACATAAAAATACAAAAAAGTGTCACAGCACACTGTTAATGAAAAATTGTTTACTTTCATTTTTATCATAGAATTATAAATCAATTGGAATATAAATATTGTACTTACATTTCAGTGTATAGTATATAGAGCAGTATAAACAAGTCATTGTCTGTATGAAATTTTAGTTTGTATTGACTTCGCTAGTGCTTTTTACGTAGCCTGTTGTAAAATGAGGCAAATATCTAGATGAGTTGATGTACCCCCGGAAGACCTCTGCGTACCCCTGGTTGAGAACCACTGGGCTAGAGTATCAACACTATGGTGGGGGGCACTAGGCACTCTGGAACAGGGTTACTTTGACTAGGGTCTGTGCACTGCAATGTGTACACCAGAACCCTAGGTTCGAACACAGGTCAGAAAATCCTTAACATAGGGTTCCCTGACACAGGTCAGGTGACTCGAGTCTCACTAACCCTAGGCTTAAATTGCTGCGTACCCTTAGTGAATTAAGGCTCAAGCCCAATGAAGTAGGGAAATATTATTCACATTTCATAAGGTTTGGTGAATTGCCCCAGGTCACACAGGAAACTCTGTGACGTAGCTGAGAATCAAACCCAGAATGCCTGACTGCCAATCTTGTATCTCACCTCAAGACTACTTTTTCCTGTCAAGAAATTTTGTTCTACAGGATTCGACCCTGCAGCCTCTTGTACACACAATGTAAGTCCTGATCCAGTAAAGCACTTAAGTGCAGGTACCTTTCAGCACCAGTAGTTTCACTGAAATCAATGGCTCTACCCATGTGTTAAAGTATGGGCGTACGTGCTTTGCTGGATCAGGGCCTATATTACTAAATTAATGACCCACAAGTTAAGAAGTACTGTTATACTACTGGCAGTTGTTAACCAACTTATTTTTAAAAATTCTAAACCAGACAATTTTCACAAGACAAAATATTATCTTTTAGGTTGTTCCTAGGAGCCAAAGAGTTCTCATGACATAAAAGGGGTGTTTATACTGAATCTCAATGAAGCAATTTTTCTAAGATTTAGAAGCTATTTTGAAAAGGTTTTCAATGCCAGCTTTGAAATCCAACAGAAACTAGCCTTGTTTCATTTAATCTGCACTGATATTCTGTGCTACCTACTCACTAGAACTTTCAGAATCAAAAGGAGGGGGGAAAAAACCAAAAGCCTTAGGACCCAATTCTCCATTTGGGTACACTGATGTTAATCAAGATCTCCAGTGAAGTCAACAGAACTGCACCAATGTAAAACAGATGTAAGTGAGAGGAGAATCAGGACCTGAGTAGCTGTCATTTCCCTAGGGCCTGATTTTTGGGGGTTTCCCAAAAACTACTTGCAAAGACGTGAGTGCGGTTCTGTACTGCTCCCTTCTAAGGTATGGGGCTAGGTCCGATTACGTCCTCAAAGACAATCCTGAATTTGGGGAGGTGGTGGTCCTCCTCTCCGAAGAAACTGGAAGAAAGAACTGCCCTGCCTTCAAAGAAACCAGAGGTGAGTATCGTTGCTCTGAGAAGATAAGACCAGGATTGGGTGAGGGTCCTCCATAGTTTGGACACTTCAGATAAGCAACCAAATTTTTGGATGGTGGCCCAGATTGAATTCTGACCCTTTTGAGGTTGCCTATCACCAGATTAACTATTTTGAAGCTGATTTACCTGGTGCTTGTATAATTATTTTTCCAGTGGAGATTACAATCTTCTTGAACTCTAAGCTCCATTGGGCAGAGATCTTGCGTTAGTACAGTGCCTAGAACACTGGGGCACTGATCCTGATTGATGTCTCTGGGTGTTACAGTTATACAAATATTAAATAAATAATAATAATGGCTTACTGTGTGCTTTCACGTGTAGCTTTGCTGTAGTAAGGATGGATTACTCTGTGGTTTTATACATAGCATGCCTATGAAAACGCTTGGGTTTATACATTTTTCATTTGATTCCCTTTATATTATAGAAGCAGAGAAACAAGTATTTAAAAGGGTAAAAGTGCTTATTATGTCATTTGGAGCTTCATAATTGTGCAGAGAAAAATTCTGGCCAGTTGGGTATGTAAATTCTTGGATTGCACATTAAGAGCAGTATATGACTATCTGTGCATAGGGCAGATGTTAAAAGGTTTTGCCTACACATTCACAAGAGATCCAGGCTTTGGTCCATACAGGAAAATCTGGCTCACTCTGGTACTGCTGTTTCTGGCTGGGTTTATAATTTTATAATACTTAAAAAAAAAAAAAAAAGCTCCTAATTGCCAGTCTTGTGATTGCATGTGCAGTGCACAGGGCATTAAATTCACTGAGACTCTGGGGAGGGAACAGCCAGCTTAGCTGCTGTTCTTTGGTTGCAGCATAGGCATCGTCTGACTTCTATATCTGAGGGGAAGGGGGCAGCTCCAATCAGGCCAATGGGGCTGGGCATCGGGGGAGGGGGAATTCTGTGCCTGCCTGAGGCTTGCCGTTTAGGAGGGCAATGCCCCTCCTAACTCCCCACAAACTGCACTCATGGGTTGCAGCTACACATGTAATTTCCTGCCTAAACTCTGCCTGTTCTTTTGACCCTTCTGGTGCTTGTGTGTGTTTCTGAATGACACTGATCTCTCTGCCCTCTGTCTGGCCATTATTCCAATATACACACCCACACTTAATGCAAAGCAGGAAAATAACAGACATCTAGATAAACAACAAGGAGTCCGGTGGCACCTTAAAGACTAATAGATTTATTTGGGCAGAAGCTTTCGTGGGTAAAGAAAACCTCACTTCTTCAGGTTTTTTACCCACAAAAGTTTATGCCCAAATAAATCTGTTAGCCTTTAAGGTGCCACCGGACTCCTTGTTGTTTATCTGGATGTCTGTTACAGACTAACATGGCTATCTCCTGATACTAGACATCCAGATAGTGGGGGGAAAAGAACTGCCATTCTCAGTTGTTTATTTGGACAGCTGAGGTACTCCGGGGAATACCAAATGCCAATACACCCTCGCTCAGGCACTTGAATGACCAATACAGCTCTGGCTTTATGTGCTGACACTAACTTGTGCTGGTTTTAGATACTGTTGTCCTGGGAGGCCTGCAGGAGGGAATCCCTGCTCCTAAAGATGTTACTGTGGGGGTGTTAGTGGGTGCAACGGAGCATGTCATTTTAAGCTGCCAAACTACAAATTACTTCAGAAAACTTTTGAAGTTCATCAGTGCTCAGGTGAACTTTGAAGGGTCATCAAAGTCCTTTGGATGTTTGCCAGATTCTGACATGCCATTTTGACATGCCTCAAACTTGATCCTGTGGGCTACACCTCACCAGGGTCTTTCAAACAGGCCTATTTGGAAATCTTGTGGACAAACTATTCTTTAGCTAGGACATGGCTAAAAAAAAAAAAAAGCACTAGAAGAAGGAAAAGTGTCACAACTGATTTGTCAAAAGAAATCTTGCTATCAGGTGCAGTGCATGGGAAAGTGTATCAGTACCTCCCAGCACCCTGTGAGACTCACTAGCACCTCCAGTACCTTGGAGTGGAGAAGAAGAGACTCATACAAAACACATTTTATGGAATATTGTTGCACAAATATTTAAACTACTGTAAATCTGTACTGAACCTGAAATGTTTCTCTTACCGTCTCGTAAAACTCATACAAGTGGATCAGCTTCTCCAGCTCACTCTTCCTTTTCTCTGTCTGAGTGCTGACATTACTCAAATAACTCCTGAAGCTCTGAACTTTTTCTTCCAAGTTCAGTGAGCAGTTCTTTTGTATCAGCCGCAGCCCTTTCTCACAATATTGCTGTTGAGTACAAAATGAAACATACTGCATTAGTACATTGCTTCTTCTGCTGTCCGGATTCTTGTTCGGCATTGTCATTTACTCCATACATAGGCCAACTGTAAAGTGAGCGAAAGGTCAAAAGCGACCAATCACTCTTGTTGATCCTTTTGGTGCTTTTTTTCCTTTTTGATACTGTTCTGCTACGATAAAATTACTGTTGGCCTTTTTATAAATCTAAATTTCTTTTGGGAAGCATAAAGAAAGAATATAGTGATATGATGGAGCAAAAACTAAAGTCAATTAAGCTTGAACATTTGAAAAGAATTATTATTACATGTTTAGAGGGGTCATGGTTATGTTGCACTTAATATCATCGTGAGAACTTTTGTTTCGCAAGTAACAGCTCTCCTGTACCCTTCTTGATGCAATTTCTTTATATGAAATAGTTACAAGCTGAACTTTTCTCTTTACCAAGCTCTAGGAGGGCATGTATGTATCTAACTTCCCATTTTTACTCTGGCTTCATTTACCGTTTATTGGTTGGTGTGCCTGTGTACTACTGCTCCTCATGGATGTACTGTGATGGCAGACCTGCACACATGGCACTGTGGTTGGTCTCCAAAAATGTTTAAGAGTAAACATTCTACCCCAGAAAGCAGCAATTCTTCTTTAGCACAAGTGGTAGGTGTGTGTGGGCCTGACCCAAAGCCCACTGCAGTCAAAAGGAGCCTTTCCATTTACTTCAAGGGGCATTGGATCAGGCCCTTTTATTTCTGGAACACATACTCCAGAGTTCTATTCCCAGTACTATGTGGGCACTTGAGTTATTAATGTCATTTATGATTTTTGTTGTTTCTGGCCACAGATTAAGAAAAAACTCTCTCCTAAATTCCTCAATTATGCTTTGCAGTACTGAGAATTTGTGCAGTCCCTCTTGCACATGCATAGCTCTCCCTCTCCGTGTATTACTTGTTTTCTTCTTGGAGATATATATATATAAAAATAAATAAAAATTCCAGTTAAAGAGGCAGTAACTTTCCCAGAGCCATAGAGTTAGTGTTGTTATATTACCAATAATCAGTGAAATTAACATTCTTAATCTATTGCAGCTTTGGTTTGTATTTCCCCAATTAATTTTCTAGGCTATTGCAGATGCAACTAAAATAACAAAAGCAAAACCAGGTGTTCCTTAGTACAATACTCACCATCACTTTGTCACTGAAAACTCTGAATTCTTCTTGCTGCTTCTTCACACTTTCCAGAGAAAGCAGCTCTTGATCTAAAGGGCCAAGATATCGCTCCCTTTCATTTTCAAACCAGAGTTTTATCTATAGAGGATACAAGATTTGTTTTTTAAAATTAATGAGTAAACGATATCTAACACAGAAATTAAGCAACTTTATCAAAGCAAATTAAACTCTTGTGAACATATACCAAATAAATCTTTTAAATTCTTTATTTCAAAACTATGAAAAAATATCTCTCTCCTCATATACAGTTTATCTAGAAAGCTATTTTATGTACTGCATTTAATAACAGACACTTTAGTCAAACATATATTAGTTTGCACCATATGTTAGGCCTCACCTTGTACTCCTTACACAGGCAAAACTCCCATTGAACTCAGTGAGAAATTTGCCTGTAGAGACTATAGGGCAAGATCATTAGTGATTAATGAATAAAAATATAATTAGAACAGCTCACTGAATACAAAGAGCCAAAAGGTCTGTGCTAATTTTTAAAAACATTTATTAAAATATTTACATTTTCTTTACTCAGGATTTATTACAGATGTTTCACTGACTCGGAAAGTTTACCCTTGTGACAGATATGGCAATTTCCTGCAATATCTTTGGGAGACCTTACTGAATTAAATTTAAATAGTTTTCCAGTCCAATGTATTATAAATGCAAAGTTTATGTATTATTGTGGGATTGTACATAACCATTCTAGTGGGGAGACATGGCCAATGTAAAATCTCAGAAGTGCTATTAGCTTCAAAGAACAAAGTATCAGACAAAAAAAACTTTCAGCACCAACAAAGTGAAGTGGATTTCCCAGGAGATACCTGGAAGGAGTGGAATGCAATTCTCACCTCTGGACACACCCTTTTGAATCTATGCCTTGAGGAGAGAACCACTCCTTGGCTGATTACCTATTCAAGTTCTCTGCAGGTCACAGACCCAGGCTGTAGAAAGGAAAGGCTAACCTATGCATATGGGTTCTTGTTCTGAGCAAAAGCTGTTATGAACTTGTGACTACAGAAAACCCCCATACTGGGGTTTGAAGGACTGAATCCTACCAGAGTCCTTGTTGGAGTAGGGGAGGATCTCTGGCTTATGTGCAGGCATGTAAGTTCTTTTATTGTTTTTAAATGTGTTTTCTGTGTAATGCTTTCACCTTAAGAATAAATGTATTTGCTTAGAAAGGGATGTGTGGTAACTTGCAACTGTGGGCAATTATGACTGTTCATAACCTCTGAGGAGAAAGCAAAGCAGGCTTACTTAGGCAGTCTGACTTGCCAGGGAACTCACAGTATAGGTAGGGACTGTGCAGCCTGAAAACCCCAGGTGAGGAGGGAGAGAGACACACGTTTCTACCCAGGGGAGGTGACAGCTGAGGAGCCTGGAGCCTAGAGTGGGTGTACTTGCTGGACCACAAAGGAATACAGATGCAGTTGCCCTGAACTGTGACATTATTTGTACTGCATACACACACATATGTGGCCAGCCCAATATGTAGCTTATATTCACAGATTAACTTGGCCCCCATGATGGAAAAATGGAAGGTTAGCCCTATAGCTGGCATACATTAAATCTCAAAAATAGTACTGACCTGGTCACAATCTTCTTCAAATTTTCTTATTTCCTGGAGATTCTCCAGTTGTTGCAGACACTTATTCGATATGAGAACCAGCCTATGGACCTCCTCATCTACTCGATTGTACAATCTTGTTATAGCCTCCATGGCATCTCTATGGGGGGAAAAACAACACATAAATGTCCAGTGCAAACACAATGCCAGAAGAGTCCACTCTATATTTCAGAAGACGACAATCATCAAATTTGTTAATCAGCAAAGCAAAGGAGGTTTGGGCCAACAAGCCAACACCTACAGAACGTATTAGTGTGTGTTTGCTTGTTCAACTTGTCAAAGGAAAATGTATCCTACTCAGAACCACAGATACGTGGCAGCCAAGATTTTCAAAAATGACCAGTGAGAGTAGGAGATTTGTATGTAAATCCCATTTCGTTCACTCGGAACCGTGTATGTATAAATGAGAGTAGTACCTGGCACAAAACATCTATATTTGCTGTTCTCCTTAGGAGGGAACATGAAATCTGTTACACATGTCTTCCCCTTGTTACATTTCCTCTCTCTTTGGGCTTGACTACAACGGCGCTGCATTCTGGTCTACAAGGGTGTGAACTGTAGAGCGCTCTAACATGCTGCACTCTAACTGCCTCATGCAGACTCTGCTGGGATGAACTAAAAAGTACCTTAGTTTGCGTTAACATAGTTGTAAACGAGTGGTCTCCTCTCAGGCACACCCTCATGGCCTTGGGGAAGCCCTGCAAATGGCTCCTTGTCTCAGTTTTCCTCATGGCTCCCCAGTAACTCAATATAAGTTTATCCTCCAGTCCAGTGGTTCTCAGCCGGGGTACACGTACCCCCGGGGGTATGCAGAGGTCTTCCAGGGGGCACTCAACTCATCTAGATCAATGTTTCTCAACCTGGGGGTTGCGACCCCAAAGGGGGTTGTGGGACAGGTTTAGGGTCGCAAGTGAAGAGCTGGCATTAGGGGTGGCCACAGTGGGCCCTGCAAAGCTGTTACATGCTTCAGCCCTGGGCAGCAGGGCTCGGGTTTCAAACAAGGCACACAAGAGAAAAACAGGCTCAAGTATCACACTGAAATGTAAGTACAATATTTATATTCCAATCAATTTATTTTATAATGATATGATAAAAATGAGAATGTAAGCAATTTTTCAGTATTAGTGTGCTGTGACACACTCATATTTTTATGTCTGATTTTGTAAGCAAGTAGTTTTTAAGTGAGGTGAAACTTGGGGTACCCCAGACAAATCAGACTTCTGAAAGGGGAACAGTAGCCTGGAAAGGTTGAGAGCCACTGTTCCAGTCCGTAATAATTTATTAACAAAAACATAGTGCAAAAATCCATAACCAGTAGTCCCAAAACATAGTCCACATCCCCCAGTGCACGTAGCCTTTAAAACGTGGCTTGGTTCTCACCATCCTAGTGTCTTCCACTACACCTGGACTCTTTGGGTATGTTTACACAGCAAAGAAAAACCCACGACTGGTCCATGCCAGCTGACTCAGGCTTGAGGGGCTAGGCCTGTGATGCTGTTTCACTGCTGTGTGGACTTCCAGGCTTGGGCTGGAGCCCAAGCTCTGGGACCCGGCCACCCTGCAGAGTGCTAGAGCCCCAGCTTCAGCCTGAGCCCAGACGTCTACACAGCAATGTAATAGCCCCGCAGCCCGAGCACTGTGAGGCCAAGTTGGCTGGCAAGGCCAGCCGCAGGTGTCTAGTCACTGTGTAAACATACCCTGAGTCAATCGTCTTCTGTCAGACCAGCCACCGCAGCCCTTCCTTCCGGGGCACAACCCTGCTCTTCGTAGCAGGAACTCCCACACCCTCTCCGCTGGAAGTGTCCTCATGTCTCGTCTGGGGCCCAGCTCTCTGGCCAGGAGACATCAGGGAGTAAGTCGCTCCGCTGTTCCCCCTTCCTTCAGCCCTTGGCTCTGGCTCTCTGGTTTAGAGCCAGCAGGCATCGCCCTCTGCTGCTGCTGCTCCTCCTGCTGTCAGCCCTTTCCCGCCCCTTAGCTCTGGCTAGGGGATGCCAGCCACAAACCCCTCTGGCTGCTCTCCCAGGAACCACCTTCTCTCTCCGGTGGCTCCCATCTCTTACCCCTCTTGTCTGACTGACTCAGTCTGCTCTGGCTCCTCACTGACCTTTTATAACCCCAAATGCTGCCCTGTGCGCTGAACTGGCCCAACTGGGAGCACCTGGATGGGAACAGGAGAGCCGAGCCCAGATTCATATGATGGGCCAGAGACTCTGTTACAGTTCTCCTATAGGACTGCATCACTGCCAGCTAGGTGCCTTCTAGTTCACACCAGCAGGGTCTACATGGGGCAGTTTAATCTAACATGTTGTGCTCTCTACAATTCACCCCCCCCACACACACACACAGACACTGGACTGCAGTGCCATGTAGACAAGCCCTTTCTCTCCCTTTTGCCTTCTCTGATTAACATGGGTCTCTGATGCAGCACTTATTGCAAAGCAAGCACCTACCGGTAGTCTTCTGTATTGCAGAATTCCTCTTTCCTGAGTCTTGCAAGGATTGTCCCACCCTCTAGCCTTAATGTTACCAGCAAGGCATCTTCCAAAACAAGTTTCATCATTGTCTTGTGTTTGTCGATTAAGTCCCTGACCTCCTATACAGAAGAAAGACAATTAATCTCATTTTACTAGAAACTTAGATAGTGTGTTGGTACCATAGCTTGGCTAGCACGGCTTTTATAAAACAAATCCATGTGCACATTGGTCAGGGAAATAACAGAACCCTGTGAATGCCTGGTTCCCACTTGTAATTTTTGTCCTACATTTCCCTGTTGCGTCTACTGGTGGAGCTGAACCAGTTTTAGCAATAATTTTTGGCCAAAACATTATGGAGACTGAACTACTCTCTCATTCACTACACTTGGTCCCCTCAGGTTGATTCAGGCACTCTGGCAAGGAAGTGTGGGGAAGCCTGTAATATCACTGACTAAGCCGTGCTTCTTTTGTAGACAGAGGAATTCAGTTTCCAGGGCTAGCAAACTGGCACCTTTCACAGAAAATTATTAAAACAACAATAATTAGAGATGGGCCAAAACTGGAACCTTGAATCCAAACTCCTTTAAATTAAAGGGATGCAAATTTGAACGACTATACCTGAACCCATCCCTATAATTTTGTGTTGCATTGAAAATAAACCAAAAGGGTCTATTTTCTAGGGTATGTTTTTCAGGTATGGCAGAAACCTTATGAGAAGGGTGGTCTAGACAGTATTTGGTCCTGCTATGCGGGCAGGGGACTGGACTCGATGACCTCTCGAGGTCCCTTCCAGTCCTAGAATCTATGAATCTTGCAAGATGTCTACAATCTTGGTTTCAAATTTTGTGAGAACAGCTCATGGGACCATTGGTGCTTTCAGATCTAAACCTTGACACCCTATTCTGACCTCGTAACTGACTGCTAGTCTAAACCTGATGCAGACAGGATCCAAATATCTCCTCCTCAGCTTCTCTCTAATAACAACCCCCATAATATATTACTGAGCTACCTCAGGCTTCCAATTTTTTGAATTCAAGACACAGCATTTGTGACATCAGCTAATACTTACCTGCACTGTACTTAGGGTTCTCTTGGAGTTCAGCGAACAGACTGAGTTCTGTAGAAAGACAATGGCCTCTTTGCAGTTTGTAATAAAGGGTTCCAGTTTCTGCAGCGATAAAACACAATGACAGGTAAAAACACTCAAAAAGTCAGTCTCAGGAAATAGCTTTGGCTTCTTAAACTTAAAGTGTCCTAGATGGTCAGAAAGAGTTATTTGTATGTCAATCACAATAAGGGCTTGTCTACACGTAGTTTTTGTACTGCTTGAACTATACCAGTTTGAAACCAGTATAGTTAAGTGGTACAATCCCCCTAATGTGGATGCAGTTATACCAGTATAACTATTCCTGCATGGGAAGGGGAATAAAGGGAATAAGCCAAACTAACAAGGGGAATAAGCTACACAGATAAAAGGCACTTTTATACCAGAATAACTACATTCACACTAAGGGGTATATAGATCTATTTCAGTAAAAAATAAAATTACTCCATTAACTGAAATAGTTAAATGGGCATAAAAACTGCATTTAGACCTTAGACACAGGTATTTTTTTTTAAACATCAAAATAGGCCTAACCTTAAATAAGATCATTGTTTTCCAAGTCAGTATTTGGAATGTGTGGTTATATACAGTCTCCATAGATGCCAGACCTTCAGCTGGCATAAACTGGCATAGCTCCATTGACTTCAGCGCCAGAGGACAAAGTACTGCACATGAAGAAAACTTCAGGGCCAGTTATTGACTTTAATATAGCTAAGCTGATGGACACCAGTTGAGGATCTGGCCCTAATGATTCAGATATGTGTTAAAAAGTGAGTTTGGCAATTCCAACATAATCCAGAGTGGAAATCTGTCTGAATCCTGCAACCATGACACAGCTGAACAGAGGCCAAGACTGACCTAGCCAGGGATTAACAGAGTAAAGCGGCACAGCTGTGTGGGGACGTTTCAACACCACCTACATGCAGCGTACAAGACTCTAGCTGGCACTATTTGTTTCTCATTTTTATGAGGAATAAAAGTTACTAAATTCCATCAAGAACATTCTAAAAGGGAAAATAAAATCAGAGGAGAACAAGTAATGGGAGCTGCAAGCACTATCTTACCTTTCGGAAACGCATCCAGTCATGGTGGTTATACAGAAAGGTTCCATCAAACTCTGCTGTCAACTGGGTAGAGTCAATGTGCTTTTGCAGAGCCTTCAGTGATGTGAGGACTTCATACTGTTAAAGAAAAATTGTGAATGGAGCTGTATTAATGCCATAAATCAAACCACTGGGAAAAACGTACATAGTACCAGTTGTCAAAATCTTTTACAGAATCTCGAGACAGAGGACCAGATCTTCAAGTGGGTATAAATGAGTGTAGATCTAATGAAGTCAAGAACTGGGCCTGAGATTTTCTTCATGTGTAATACGCTGTCTTCTGGAAGGAAGTCAATGGAGCCATGCAAATTTGCACCAGCTGAGGATCTGGCCCAAAGTACAACATCTTATTTGTAGAAAATATTTTCTGTTACTATTATATATTTATTAAAATATATATAAGATTGAAGGGGGAAAAAATCTCAAGTGACTTCTGTCTCTAACAACCATCTATGCCAATAGAATATTACATACAAAGAAAAAAAGAGACATTGTTTAAAATTCTTTGGGTATCGAGTTTTATTGGGAGAAAATAGTATATTTTAACTCTACATACAAAGTTCAGGAGAACAAGCTTCTGTTCTGATGGAAATGAATATAAAGGGAGCTGAAGTTAAACAGCAAAAATGAGTTTATTATTTAAATTAAATCAAACATCCATCAATTTTGTATTTTTAAAAATATTTTAATTATAAAATTCCTGCATAGTAAATACAGAAACAGCAGCAGTAAGTCATTATGTTATTGTAAAGAACACAATTCACACAAACATACTTCTGACTACCCACTTATACGATTCAGCAAACTGGTTTATACAGTAAGTCTAGCCATAAAAGGGCAAATTCTGCCACCCTTACATTCCTTACACGACAGGGCTGTTGTGAGGATAAATACATTAATGACTGTGATGTGCTCAGACATCATGGTAATGGCACCCACATAAGTACCTAAAATAAGATTTGCATTGAGAAGCACGTTATAGATAGATATAGATTTCAGTGGCACTACTCGCACAGTAAAGTACTACTGAATTGGAGCTACTCAAAGTATAATGTATTATTCAGTGAGTAATAGCAGAATTTGCCCCTTAAAAACAACAACAACAAAAGATCAATTTCTTCTAAACAAAATAAAATGTCATGAAGTCACATTTTGCAAAGTAACTTTTCATAACAAAATTTAACTTTACAAAATATCATGCACATTCCTCTTAATGTTACCTGAATTGCAGTATCTTTGTCAGGTCTAAATGCAGATTCCTTCTCAGTCAATATCAGGACACTGTGAATGGAGTGAGGAACTGCATTCTGGAAAGCAAAGCAAAATGAATTTAGAGAAATGCTTTATTATGAACCTCCCAATCTTTTTTTCCTTTTTGCCGTTTTTCAAAATTCAGCTTGATTGGTTAACATGAGCATCATAAGTCAAGAAATAGCCTTAAATCGTTATTTTTAAATAATGTATTTTCCCTATAATAAATGTAGTTATGGGGTCAAATTCTGTTCTTTTTGTTGCAGGAGCACATTGTTTTATTCTTCAATAAAATTAACTTGGATTACGCTACAAATGCAATGATGTTTTCTTAATGACTAACCTATGCTGTATGTGTCCTTGCTTTACACTATGTTTTTCCCAGAAGGCATTAAAGAGCCTTATTTTAAAAATGCGAACAGCACAAAATAAGGCTGTAATAGCCTGCAATGATCATGGTCAATCTTGTCTATTGCACATATAAAACTGTGTTTGTGGTTCTCACATTGGTGTGATCTCACATATATGTGTTCACCTGTCGTGTTTGCTGAATCCTCATAGGTCGACATCAACATGAGACTCCATCATCACGTTGTAAACTATACACATTTCAAACAGTAGCTGAAGTTTAAATACTTTAACTAATAAAGGATGACATTCATATTTCTTGCTTCATGCAGTATTGCTTTGATGGTGTTTTCTCTCTTATAAAAGTGGTTGTTGGAGAGGGTATTAGGTCTCAAAAGACACTGCATGTGTATTTGTTTTTAATCCATCAGTTATGCATTTAGGGATCTATCCAACCCCTATTGAAATCAATCAGTGCTTCCTCTGCTTTCAGCGGGTGCAGGATCAGGGCCTAATTCATCCCAGTGCTGGAGATAAATATGGTGTAGGGCCCTAAGTAGGTATTATATCACTATTACGCCTTCCTTATTCTGCAGCTCTTATTCAAACGGAGGTTTCAGGAGGCAGAGCATGTGAGTTCGCTGCCTGCCTACCATCCATCATTCTTGCCAGTGAATTTTAGGCCATTTGGTGCTTCACTTAGAAGTACAAAGCAGCTCTTCATATTTTAGCCCTAAATCTTGATCGGAGTGCTTCTGCGTCATCATATCCATTGTGACTCCATAGCTTGCGAAAAAGACTTATTATTTCTGTTGCTATGACACAATGTACTATTGGTGTTACTGTCTTTTTTCATTTTTACTATTCTGTGTTCTAATTTTTTGTTATCTTTATCTAATATTCCTTCTCGTTTCCCATCTCTGTGTTTAAAGGATACTTCAAAAAACACGGCTTAGCCATACACATTGGATGTGCTCTAATGCAAAGACTGAACATTGGGACGATACAGGCTGAGTGGCAGAGTTAACTCTGATTTCACTTGAGGCTTGATTATAATTTTACAGTCTGCCCGGAATCAGAGGCAGTATGCAGCTGCCCTGAGACAGAGAACAAACACTGAGAACAATTCCTCCTCCGTTCCCCCTTTGCTCTGGGGGAAAAGTAAATTACTTGTCCCCTTTTCCTGGAGCAGCTTACACCTCCCTGTGCATGGTACCAGGCTCCTTCCCACTTCCCACCCCCTCTAAAGGCTCATCGTGAAGGGTCCTAGGCAAGTAGTCCCTGTCCTGCCTGCATGACCACAGTCACAACCAGTGCTGGGCTGAGGAGGAAATAAGAGTGAGCTGAAGGCTAGGACAGTATAGCTTTGATTTTGTAAGTTAAAAAGAGGGAACTGATGTTATAAACAGAATGACAAGAATGATAACAACAAAACCACCAGTCCTCCCTCTGAGCCCGTTCTACTGATGATGTATTAAGTCTTTAATCACACCAGCTGCAAAGCATGCTGTAATGAAGAGTCCAATGTATGTTTATGGCACATGCTCAAGTAGCCACATTTATATTTGAAGCACATCGGTCACTTTTCCGGATTGGCAAAATTAGCATTTCATCTGTGTCGTTTTTCAAAAGTTCAACAGTGTTTGCTCCTGCCTGTGGGAAGAGAGTATCTGGAAGCCCACATTTTAGTTATGTCTCCTACATGTGCACTTCAAAATGGAAAAAGCCAAACTAATTGAATTTTTTTTGTTAATGGCAACCCCTTCTCCACCCAAGCACACAGACCAAGTTTCAGCCCACTCTAAATTAAAAGGGCTCTAAACTCTAAAAATGGAGCTGACAAAGGAAAAATTGTCAAACTGTTACATTTAATTTCATTATAATAAAACTATATCTACCTAATTCCACATTTCCATTGCTTTCATTTGAGACAAATACCTTGTTAAACACTGTGCCAAAAACAAACTCATTTGCTTCCAGGATTCAATTCATCATCTTGTGATGACTTATTTTTCCTCAGGGCATATCTGCCACATCTCAGATGTGTAATATACTTAAGAAAACACTAAAGCCAGCTTAATAAAATAATTACAACAATGCGAATTCAGTAGATTTCCTTTTTTCAAGTTGGTTGCCAAGCCGTTTAGAAGATTCAGTTACAATAAGAAGTTGAGTATTTGGTGGAAATTTTCCCAGTGCATATTTCTTTTTTCTCTAAACTGTTTTGGTGCACCAGCTGTGTGTAGGAAGGGCAACTATATAGATCTAAGTGCTACATATGGTTAGTGTCTGTCTGCAGCTGTGGGAAAATGGCTGTGTAAAACTCACAGGGTGATGTTAAGTAAATGCAGTAGCTGGAGGTACTTGCACCTCAAGTCTGAAAATGTTTGATCTATTGTTACAATACTCAAGTTCTCACTAGAACCATAAAAGATTAAAGATTAAAAATCATTTTGCTCTGGTCTTCTACTTTGTTTACTTTGGGCACCTGACAGCACTTTGGAAACAGTTAGTTCCAGTTTCCCTTTTTTTAGTCAGTTAGGCCTCATATAGGTACCATGTGGAGCTGATTACAGGACTGCAGCTTCAATCAGTTTCCTCTCATGTTAGTGTGGATCTTCATACAGTAAATGGACAGGGGAAAACATTTTAGGAAAGATGGTCAGGAGAATAAGAAGGTTTAATACCTGAAACTACTTGTAACTTTACTTTTTTTAATTGATCAGATTTCAGATGGACAGCGTAGTGCCTTTTTAATCTGAGTGCAGTTACAATGTAAGGCTTGTAAGGGTAGATGGGAAAGAGTGAAAAGGTGGGAGGAATCATAAAGTAGTCATCATCTACAACAACTTGTTCTTGTTTTGTTATTTTTCTCCTTGAATAACATGATTACCATATCTACATCCTGCACTGTATAACCTTAAATGTCAGCTATGGCTCAAAGCAGACTGCACAGGAAAATTTCACTCCTCTCTCCGTGAGTTTTCAATGTTTTCATTTTGCTGTTGTCATGATCAGAACCAAGGCTGGGATGTACGAACTTTGGAAGAATGTCCATTTTCTGACTGTGATTAATTCTGATCTGAACAAAAAACACTTTACCCTTGTCAAAGGAATACTGATGGAAGCCAAGCACACTAAAAGGCCGTTGTGATAATGATGTGCTAGAGTCACTGTAATGTCAAAATACCTTGTAACAGAAAATCAGACTAGAAGATACTAAGACCTTTGTGCTAGTGTCTTTTCCTTTTTGAACTGTTCAGTGAACCAGCACTAACAGATCTTTAGTTTCACTGTGCGTACAAAAACAATTCACTCCATTAAAGGCAGAAGAAAAGTTGGCCTCAGTTGTCAAGACATTCTGTGTAACTTTTACTTTGCTGTTTGTTTCCCTCAGTGCACCAAACTACAGGTTAACAAAATGAATGTTGGATAATATCAAACGCAAGTGAATCTCCATAACAACTTCCCAATAAGCTGCTCTAGTCCTACTTACTGTTTGAGAAAACTGGACTTAATGTCAACAGACAGACAGTGCTTATTTTTGTAGAACTAGCACTAAACTCCTCTCAAGAATATACCATACTTGTATTTTGTATTTTAAATCTATTCCTTCTACTTATATTTATACCTAATTGGCTTTAACTTTTTCAACTGATTCTTTGATGATCCTATTGTGTATCACAAATTAATTTTTCCATGTGCTGAATGGAGAAAGTAATTCAAAAGGGAAAGAACTACCACTGGTATTAAGTTTAACGCTGTAAGCTCTTTGGCACAGGAGGCATCTTTTGATTGTCTGTGTGCACAGCACCCAAAAAAACAACACCCCAGTACCTGATTAGGGGCCTCTAGGTGCTACCACAATACAAATAATAACAATAACAATAATTTTTAAAAACACTAGTATTTTATTTTGTGCTCTTAAACAATGCACCATAACCACTAGCACTTACCTGTAATGCTGTGAAAGCTTTGAAAAGACCAGGACTAGGCTGGCACTTACGAGCATCCACTAAAATAACGAGCCCCAGATCACGTACTTCCTTCCTAGAAACAGAAAGGCAGATATTTCCTAAGCTGCATTTCCTCTTGATAAAAGTATTTACTAAATGTTTATAAAATTGTATCCAAACAAACAGGTTGATGATGGGGCCACTTAGAACAAATATATTTTATTTCCAGTCAGAAATAAAGCAGCAGACAGTATATTATGCAGAAAATGATTACAGTCGGCCCCTCTTATTAAAAAAATCTGTTGTAGGAGGTCGAGGTGGGGAAATTCCCTCTCAGAGTTTTCTCCAGATCATACTGTCAGGGATGAATAATTTGCCGTTGTATTGTCTCTAGATTCCTTGTGGCCCTTCCCATTCTCCTGCCAGCATAGCTCCCTCTCCAGTTGTCCACTATATCTAGAACTCTGCCTCCCCCACATGTTTTAAAAGCAGAGTTTCCCCTTTATGGAATGGCTGTTTGGTTAAGATAACACAGCCACAGTAGATATCCTCTGGGTTTATGGAGGGGGGGAGTAATGATGCACCTAGACATTGGTCCCCCATCCATGTCCAGATCTCTATCCCTGGAGAAGGCTCTCTGTGAGTCTGGAGATAGGGCTGGTGGTGTCAGCCAAATGGATGGGGTCGCTTTTCTCATGAAAACGTGCAGATTTCTGCGTGGCAGGTTCTCTCTGCATAAGGTCTGAGGGTGCGGGAAATGATCTGGAATGGTAATACTAAGCTGAAATGAGTTCCCGCTCATGAAGAACTAATTGCATGGCAGACTGATGCCTTGGGCTGGCATGTCAAATGGTAATATCCCTATTTTTCAGATAGACTGGTGTAACTGAAATGCTTTCCCTAATGTGAGGGTTTTATCAGCTAGATGTAAACATTTATTCGGAGTTAAACTTTGTAGGAGTTGCTTGGCTTTGGGGAAAATTATTAGATCCATAAAAAGTTTTTGCATTAAATAAAAAGGCAAAAAGGAGGTACGATTCCCAATACATTTGTGCTCTTACAATCCGACTTTTCAGTTAGTCAAGATTATAGACTCTGTGACTCGGCTTTTAAAACACACTTTCAACAGATTTGGGTGCCAGCCCATAACGCTAGCCAATAACACTGCTATTTCCAGCAGTAACTATGGTTTTGGGGACTATTCTAAGGCCTAACTGCACTCGCTTTAAGGGTGAAATTCACCCCTCTGCTGAGACCAACTGCACAGGATTTGACCTTTCAGCTGTTGCACACGTGAAATATGTTGTTTCAAATTTTGTTTAAAAGCTGTTTTATCATCCTCCAGACTCATCTTTACATGCTGTAATTATATAATCTAAATATTGGGTTACATATATTTACACTAAGTATAAACAGCAATTACCTTTAAAGGCATTAATGACATATATACACAATGAACAACTAAACATTACTTTAAAAAGCCAGGGCCATTCCAAGGCAAACAGTACATTCAAAGAATGTCAGGGTTATGAAGCAAGTTCAGAGGGAAAAAAAGGAATTGTACTATTAAACATTAAGGCACCTTCACTGCAATGTGAGTGGGTACAACCATCAGACATTAATTTATTATGCCCTGTAGTGGGGAAGTACAGATTTTGGGCTCAATCTAGCTTCCATTTAAGCCAATAGTAAACTACCCATTCACTTTAATAGGAGCCCTAATTCCTCCCCATGCAAAAACATCTTATAGATGTGAATAGAAAATTATATCCTTTCTGCAGTTCCCTTCCTCCATCATCCTGAGAGAAAGGACCGCATTCTCTATTACATTCTACAGGTTTTACAATTAGTTCTGTAGAACCTTACTGGTTTTGTCCCTATGAAATTCTATACGACTTTTCTGTAACAGGTAAGAGCTAGATTGTCCAATTAGGCACTGTGACATTATCTGATTAAAATATGACCATGTAGATCATTCTTGCTACTACTGTTAAATAATTGCAACAAATCTTGTACAAGTATGTCAAGAAAGGTGTCTATGGAAAAGGTATGATCTGCTGAATACGATTATGCTATTTGTACACATGAATCATTTTTGTATTTGAAGTTATGAGTATTGGCTCTATATCTAGATTTCAAATGTTTGCTCTTGGGGCAACGCCCACAAGATATTTAGCCTTAACTCACAATGGACCATGGGAGACGCCTATCTATGCTTAATGGACTTTCCTGCTATGACTAAGTGAAATCATGCATGGACATGCGACTTGCCCATGTGACCCCAAACACCATCTTTTACCTGTAATTTTCCACAGTCAGAACAATGGGATTCCCTTCAATTGGCAGAAGCTATAAAAGGCCCTGGAAACATCTCCATTTTGCAACCAGAGACTTGACTTAAGCCAGCAGTTTATTCCATTACGGCTTCAAGCCTGAACCAAGAACTTTGCAATTGTATGTATTTGAATCCTTTAACCAATTTTAACTCTCACCTTTCTTTCTTTTTATAAATAAACCTTTTTTAGTATCTAATATCTAGATTGGCAACAGCGTGATTATTGGGTAAGATCTGAGTTATATATTGACCTGGCTGTGTGGCTGGTCCTTTGGGATCAGAAGAACCTTTTATTTGATGAAATTGGTTTTTAAAGAACCATTCATCTTTAAGTCTAGTGGTTTTGGTGGTGATATAAGGATTGGCATGCCTAAGGAAACTGCTTTTCTGACTTGTTAGCCGCTGTAGTGAAACAGAAGTTTACTTTTGTTGCTGGTTTGGTATATCTTATGGGAGAATAACCACCAGTTTTGGGGTGGGTCTGCCCTATTTCTCAGCAGTTTGTCCTGCATTTGGTATTCTCAGTTGTGACCCACAGAGGCACGGTTACAGGCACCATCCCAGCAGAGGGTGATGCAGAGCCACACTGCTGGAAGAAGTGGTGGGGGAAGGGACTGTGACTCAAGGCCTGATCTAAAGCCCACTGAATCAACTTAAAGACTTCCAATGACTTCACTGGGCTTTTGGCTCAGACCCAAAGAAAGGTACAACCCCTCCCTAAGCTCCCTGGCATACAGGGGAATGCACCGCAATGCATCTGGCAGTGTGTGGGATCAAAGTTGAGTGGGGTCATGGTCCTCAAGGGGGTGATGTATGGCCCTTGGAGCAAAAAGAGGCAGCAATCTCTTGGCTTCTGTGAGCACCGCAACTGCATCTATCCCTGCTCTTTGTCCCCTTCACATACAAGCCCAGGACAGTATGGCCTAATTGTATTTTTCTTTGGTTTTTGAGTCTGTAGAGTTTGATACAAAATTTGTGAATTAGAAACAAAAGGGTTTGTTACACAGAAAAAATAATTTATCTGGAGTTATGTGCCAAAGTAGACTTTCTTGAAAGTGGAGGGACATTTTTCTGCAGTCGTAGATAAACATAGGCCAAGACTATAACAGGGTTCAAAAAAGAACTAGATAAATTCATGGAGGATAGGTCCATCAATGGCTATTAGCCAGGATGGGCAGGGATGGAGTCCCTAACCTCTGTTCGCCAGAAGCTGTGAATGGGCAACAAGGGATGGATCACTTGATGACTACCTGTTTTGTCCATTCCCTCTGGGGCACCTGGCATTGGCCACTGTTGGAAGACAGAATGCTGGGCTAGATGGACCTTTGGTCTGACCCAGTATGGCCGTTCTTATGTTGTTATACTAGACTAGATTCTCATCTGCACCCAAACAAAGAAAATGCTTCTGGGTCACCGATCCTGGGATTTATTCTGTAGTGGCCTGGTTTGCTCAGGGCTGCTCTAAACTAGACCAGCTGGTGAGAGCTCCAGGGAACTTCTTAGCCAACTGAGGAGTCCTTTAAACCAGGAAATTTCAGCTGGACATGTCAGTCAGCTATCCAGCCTCCTTGATACAGCAATATATGGCTTATTGTGAGGGACAATCTGGCCCGCTGCATTTACCAAATATGCCACTGCTTTGAATTAGGGTAGGACAGGGCCCTTCATACACTTGTGGAAGTTGTGTGAAGACCACTGGTCAGTAGTACTGTATTTTTTAAACTATACAAAAAAAATGTCAGCAACATCCCCTAATACCTGAGTTATGACGCTCATATATCCACTAATTCAAGGGGAACTCTTTTAAAAGTATTTTGAGCAGAACTATTTGTCCAACATTGGGCAGAAAGACAATTATATCACAGGATTATATTTTATATTTGGAATGCTTTGATGTTTAATTCAAGCTGCGTAGGTTTAGTTATTTTATATTAACTTTTGGAAACTTTTCAAAATTCTCACTATTTAAATAGTACTTTTAAAAGCACCTTTACTATGTTTATTAGTACGTATAAAGGCACAGAACAAGACCTACAAGATAAGTTAACAGTTGCCAATTTTCCTATCTGGCCAATTTTCAATCATCCTCAGTTTTTGTTGTACAAATAAAACTGTACACAAAGTTCTCCATAAGTTACAGTACTGTTTGAATTTGCACCCTCTATCCTACACATGTGTGCATGCGCAGAGGAAGCAGACTTAAAATTTGGTCCATTACTTATAAACTTAGATGTAATTTCTTAGATATAATTTCATCTGTTTCCCCATATTAAAAAATGGTGTCACAATTATTAGAGCTCTCAGAAACTTTAATAATTTATTTTTATTGAAAAACGGTATTTTTCAAATATAAAAGATTTACTGAAAAACTGTTGATTTCTTAACAATTTTCATTTTTCACAACATTTTTCATTACTTTTTGGTGAATTTTTTTTAAATCAAAAAATCACATTTTTCATTCCACTGAAAACTAGGTTTGTGACACACAAATATTTTGATTACATTTTAATTTAATTAAACAATTTTAGAAAACAAATTGAAAAAATAATGAAAAAATTGATCCATTTGAACCTGTAAAACTCAAAAAAACCCTTCAAAATATTGAATTTTAAGTGATTTTTGTTAAAACCAGTTACACTGGCGATGACAGAACTAAGGCTCCAATCCTGTGAACGCTTACACACCAGAAACTTCACACCTTCGAGTAGTCCCACATGTGGTGTTATGTTAGTGAGTTCAGCTGGGATCTGCCAGGCTTGGGGACCCTCCCTCCCCCTCCCCCCAGCAATCCCTCTTTTTCTGGGTTTTTCCATGGGAGCAAATCATCTGAGCCAATGTGATTTCTCAATTGATACAAATTTGAGGAAATACTGCAAGTGTGTTCCTCGTGCGCTGTACTGCTTTAACGTAATGAAAAATACGTCTTACGTTTTGCAATTTTGCACAGTGGAAAGTGAAAGGGACAATTCGGTAAGTTCTGCTTGTCCATTCCAGAGGTTTCCCCATTGTGGAAAGTAGGAGCCTTATTTATTTAAGTTCTTTTTGTAAAATCCCCAAATGTCATGACAGTAATTTGTACCTAACAGCACCACATTTCCTACCCAATTTAAACCTTTATTCACTTGTGGATTTTTACTTGGATTCTACAGCTGCTATTGACTAAATTATGCTTCTTGATGAAAATGGAATAGAAAAAAAACCTACATTATGAGGTTTTCATTTATGAAACTCACTATCTGTAGGCTCGCATCCCTTTAAATAATATGTGAGACCTCTAGCGTATGTCTACACTACATCTGGGACTGAACCTCCCAGCCTGAGTAACAAACTTATGCTGGTGCTCTAAAAATAGCTGTGTAGACACTGCTTTGACACTGGGGCTCAGGCTCTCAAGGCCCCACCTCCTGCCCCCCAGGCTTGAGAGCCCAAGCTCCAGCCTGAGTTGCAATGTCAAAGCACCATCTACACAGTTATTTTTAGCACGCTAGCATGAGCACCACCACCACAAATCTATGGCACCAGGCTGGGAGGCTTGCTCCCAGGTGCAATGTAGACATACCCCTAAGGGCCCTCACGGTCTTCTATTTTTGACTAAGGATAATGAAGTCTGTGCAGTTCTCCTTAGGTTTTGATATCCCATGTTTCCCCATAATTTGTGAACTCATTCATATTCAGAGATATAAAGATGACTGAATTTACATTAAAACTCTGGCTTCACAGTACTAGGAACACCATTCATATTTTACAATATATAACAGGACAGAGTCTGAGGGCACTGTGCAAAGAACTTAATTCTCAAATTTGTGATGAAAGTAGGTAATATAGTGAAGAATGCCAAGTACCTCATTTTCCCCTTCTGCTTTGGAACTCTGCTGAAATCAGTGCACATCCTTTCATTGGGACTTTGGGGTGATTTTCAATATTTTACAGTTTGGAGATATCGGAGTTTAGAGGTGACAGATGAACTCCTGATCCTTGTCCATTTAGACCACTGCTCTAGGTGACACAGTCTTCAAAAGGAGTCTGTTGCATCACTGAACATCCCTGTTACCTGACCATTGGAGTGGGACTGACACTAGCCTCACAGGAGACCTACCTGGTTCCCACTAGCAGAGGAGAGCAAGAAATTAAAAAGGGGGAAATATGTAGCCTGAGCAGCAAGAGTAGCCTAATGGGCTATTATCGACACTAAAGTATACATTCTATACCCAGTGCACATACACTGAGTAGACACAATACCTGAAGATACCAAACAAAGACAAAAGAAAAGCAGAAAAAAACCCCTCTCTAACTATTCTTATTAAAACCAACAAAAATATCCCTAAGTCAAACTGTAGATCTGTGATATCAAAGATTAAAGTAGTCAAATTATAGAAACACTGAAAGCAGCTGCAGGAAACACTCCACAAATAGCTGCAGAAGTCATTGAAATGTTTCCTGGTACAGGATTGCACCCTGCATTCTTTTCACAAAATAAATGTAATCAGTGTTACACATGAAGGGTCAAATTTGCAAAGCAGTCTCACCCTGATCTCTGTAAATTGTATGCACAGTTTTATAAACACAAATCAAATCACTCTATCTACATGATTTGTGCACACAAAATTGAGGACAGAAATTTAGAGACCTTTTCCTATTTATAGAAAACAACAGGGAAGACCAAAAAGAAATTGAATGAGTAATGAAGAAAGGTAAATGCAAAGAATAAGTCCAACAGGATTCCCAAATTGTAACTCCTCATTTCCAGGGATGGGGATATCATCCTATAAATTTACTCCAGGCAGGGAATCAACCTATAAATTCCAGTTCTAATACATTTTTCACCGCCATGAGCTATACACATTCTAATACATATAGATACAATTTCTAAGGCCTAGATTCAGGAAAGCATCCCTGTTCTGGACAGCACTTAAGCACATTTGTAACTTGAAGTCAATGAGACTTAGCAATATGCTTAAAGTTATGCATGCACTTATGTGCTTTACTGAAGCAGGGCCTAATTGCATACAAGGGAACTTTTCATTAATAAAAACAAAAAATTGTTTAGCACCACCCTTTTGAATGTCTATCCAAACTGGGCTGATCCTCCAAGCATTTTGATGCTCTGCCATTCCCAACAGTGAGAATGGCATTGTTAAATTTATGTGACACAGAAGAAATCAACTAATTTCAACAAGAGACATGTTTTCCAGTTTATTCTAACAAAATGTATTTGTTTCACTGACAAGTTGTGTTATACTTGAAACTTATCAAAACGTCCAAAGCTAACAAGTATTAACGGAACAAAAAATCTTGTTAACTTCAACTTAAGGGAACGTTGAAAAGAAGTAACATAGATATTCAAATACACTCTCAGTGCATAAAATCTCTTAAAAAATAAGTGTAAACATAAAATATCACACTGCATATTCGACAAACAAATTTAACACTGCTACATAATCAGCACCCAGTCTCAACCTATTCACCAGAAACCTTTCTAAACTCGTATCCCCTTACACTGTATGCATTTCACATGTAAACTGTGAAATCTCACAAAATGCTAACTTCCCACACACATATAACAGAACCAATCACACACCATCCCCAGTTCAGTTGCCTGTTATTACCTAGAGACCCCTATATTTTGCCTTTTCCCCTTGCTATACAGAGCAGAGACTTGATCCTTCCACATCCTACCTACCCACGATCAAAGGATGACAACCTATCACATATTAATCTCCATATACAGTCCAGAAATAACCCCCTTTCCAATGGCACAAAAGACCAATGTACTCCACCCACCCTTTCTTTACGGAATGAAAAATCACATTATACCTTCCCTATTCACCCTCCCATTATTGAGTCAGATACAGATACTTTCCAGATACAGACCATATGTCCATCTTCATCTACATCATTCAACACACACAGGCCACAGATCTCAAGAGCTCTTCAGTCTCTGGCTCACCTCACCACTCCACTGCCTCTCCCTAACCTTCAAGATTGAAGAGTTGCACAATATTCCTGGCCCCTGCTCCTCTTCTTCTAACTGGCGGCTTAGGAGATCTCAGGATCAGGATCACTAGGTGCCCTGACCTCATACTGCCTTGCACAACTTATGGGATATTTCTTCCTAATGGGAAAGCTTTGAAATGCCATCCGTTCCTCAGGTTCCCCGTCCTGTGAAGTGGAGGGGTGATACACAGAGGTCCCTTTCCTTTATTCAATGTCCCATAGGCCACATGGACTTTATAAAGTGTGCATCAATATACGAAACAAGACCAATTTTTGTAAATAAGTCTTTTAAAAAGTTATTTTAAATAGTGTTAAGTCCTAGATGTTAATGGTATCTTACTATATGTAAAGACTGAAGTTTTACAGTTAAGCTGTTTTAACCTAGAGGGACTTCAAAAAGCAGGTATTTTGTGTAAAAAATTTAAAAGTAAACCTTTAAGCCTCTGTCATCTATTAATGGCTTGACAAATCCCCTTCAAACTTAAATAATTTCTTCGTACCCTGAAATTAAATCCCAAAACCACTTCTTGTGTGAAAAGCTATAAAGGGAGTGAATATAGGGACTAGAACTGAAACCTGGCTACAATCTTAACTAGCGAGCTGCTACTGGAGTAGGTCCATAGTAGGGTAATTTTTAAGGACCCTCAACTCAAAAACATTGTTGCGCTTTGGTGAATAAAACAACTGTGTACTTTGGAGCAACAAAAACCATTGCTGCAAACAGAAACAACATCATTACTAGATTAACCACACAAGCCTGGACTAGATCTCCAATCCTTTAGGTCCAAATACACCTCTACCCCGATATAACGCGACCCGATATAACACGAATTCGGATATAACGCGGTAAAGCAGTGCTCCGGGGGGGCAGGGCTGCGCTCTCCGGTGGATCAAAGGAAGTTCGATATAACGCAGTTTCACCTATAACGCGGTAAGATTTTTTGGCTCCCGAGGACAGCGTTATATCGAGGTAGAGGTGCACAGAAGCCTCTAGTATGTGAGCTGAAATAAAACCAATGTCAAACATCACAGTGCACTATGAAAGAACCAGTCTGATGTGCCTAATTTGCAACCAGCCACTAGAGGGCAAACTGTTCAAACACACTAGCCATCACAATTAGACACCTAAGTAGTTAATTTTGTTCAAATTCAGCTTTTTGCAAGGATTTTTAAGGATATTTAAATATGCAGATATTTGATAGGATAGTAAGAAGCTATTTTTGAGCCAGAAGGACACAACGGTATGTTAGACAAGCCACATGTCAAATAACGACAGTTATTTAATGGCAATAAAACAACAAGCAGCAGCAACAGCACAGCCAAGTAAAGCTGGCAATTCATCCAAACCAACTTTCCTAGCCAAAAATCTTTGAATAGCTAAAAACGACAGTTTATAATGGAACCTGGTTGCAAACTTAAGCCCTGATTCTGCAATTTACAATGCACAGGTCTGTGATGCTTGCAGAGACCCACATAACTTCAGTGGGGCTATGCGTGAGTACAGCACCCCACCAGGGCATTGTAAATTGCAGGACTGGTGTCTTAACTAAGAACCAGCTGTTACTGCTCTATAATAAGCCCTCTGTGATCGCAACATCGGTGTCACCTGAAAAATGACCAGCCCAGCTCTCTTCATACCTGGGAATGCTATAGAAATACATCAGAAGACGAGCAAGCTCTGTACTTGTGGAATGTTCACTTGACCAGATGGTATTTCTTGTGCAGACTTGCACCACTGCTCTGCCACCCCGGTCTCGGCTTCCTAACCAAATAAAACACACAAAGAAAAGCCGTTGAGAAAGCATGACTGAGAACGTGCGATTTAGAAGTGTGTGTGTCTGGAAAACGACAATGCAGAAACTCTTAAAAGTGAAAATCAGTGATTTTCCATCCCCTGCATTTACCTTATTATATAGATTGTGATCACAAAATTTCTTAATCAGTGTGAAGATCATTCCTACGTATTTAAGTTTCTACTGGTGATTTTGATGGGCAAGATATCTAGCTGGTGTAAATTGGCTTGGCTCCATTGAATGGAGTTGTCAATTTATACCAGCTGACCCGAATATCTTCTAAAAATAACTTTTTCTATTGCAATCAATTTATCTTGGCTATCTTTAAGAGATCTGTGTAAATATACTATGCATGTGTGTGTTTATGTTTCATTTATCATCAGGCACGTTGTTATCTGTAATTACATACCACATAGAGAAATGACTCCAGACTGCAGTAATTCCTGGTTGATTTCAAGTAATTGGTTTGGTAATCTGTGGCAAAGGTCTCCAGCATTTGTAGGCAGCAGCTCACTCTCACAATGGAATAGCTCAGGAGATGCATTTGTAATTGTGTTACACTCACCCTGGAAACTGTTTCTTGAGTCTATTACTGTTGAGTGCTGAGGAAAATCTGGCCAAATGAAAGACAACTGGTTAAAATTTTTGCTTTTCTGTGTATTTGAAAATTGCTCTTTAGGTAGCTTCCTATCAACATGTAAAAATTAGCATATATTTATATATTAGCATATATAAGCAGAACAGAAACCATACATAGATTATATTAAAAATAAATTAAAAGAACATTACAGTTGTAAAGTTAAGCTCTCAGAAGTTAGGAAATTCCAGAATGAAGGTTGCCCTTTTGACCTGTGCGTATGCATGATTCAGTCTAATTATATGATCACAGAGTATTTTCTCCACAGGACCCCTGCTACTCTCAGTGCACAAGAATCCTTCTGCCCCTGCCTTGACTTGTTCCTGGCTCCAATCTGTTCCTATCCTCTCCAGGTTCCTATGTCTGTTCCCCTTCTGCTCTTATTCCCCACGCCCAATTCCAGTCCCTGTTTCTGTCCCCACACCCACCACAGCTCCAGCCTCCCTATTATACTATTCACCCCCAGACAGTCAAGTCAGGCTGTTCCTCCTTCTCACTGGAGAGCCAACAGGAGGCAATCTCCCTGCTCTCAGCTCTTGTGCCCAGAACTAGTGGCCCCTAGCAGTCATGAGAAGCAATTGCAGGGAAAATCCCTTGGCTGGAGCATACAAGCTCTGTGGGATGGTGCACGAGCACTCAAATTGAGTAGGAGATGTATTGGGACTGAGCATGCTCAGTAAGGATGGAATAATCCAAGAATAATGCTGCTAGCATCTAATAAACTTGCACTGAGCATGTGGGAACTGAAATTTTCAAAGGTTTATAGTTTGGCTAATTTGGAACAAAATTTCACAGGGATGGCAAAAGGCATATCACTGACATGATAGTGACTACCTCTACCAAATTTCAAGTCACTGCTTCGATGCATGGAGGTGCTGCAGCTTGTCAATCAATATGTTATAATAATTTTGTTAATGAATATGGACAAAACAATGTATTTTCCCTAACTTTGTTCTTGGAAATAGCTAAACTGCTTTAGCTGAAACATCTGGAAAAAATTCAGCCTGAGGCAGAAACCCAGCATGGAAAATTTCAGTCCAGTTACAATTTGGTAACGTTATAAGCAACCAAAACCAGGGTTTTAAATTGGTGACCCTTAACTATAGGTGTAGCTATCAAGTCTGCCTATGCTAAAGTTTGCATATTAAATTGAATGAAAACCACTGGGATTAATGTCATATTAAGTTTGAGAAACAAAGCACCCAGAAGTCTGGAAATTTCAATTTCAACTCTGCTATGTTGTGCTTATGCCTTCAAATATGGTCAGGGCTTAATTTGTGCCAAGGTTTGCCAGGGCTGAGCCCCGACACCTCTAGGCTTGGCAGTTCATAGCCCCGGCACCTCTGGGCTTGCTGTATCAGTTATGAAAGTAAAAAAAATTGCTTGAGCCAGGCACATAATTGCTTGAGCCCAGGCACCTCTTTCATTACAAATTAAGCACTGAATACGGTCTTTCTTTATACAATTATAAATTATTGTTAATATTAAAGAAGCGGTGATAGCAAGTCCATAGCCAAGACTGCATTCAGATTTTTTCTTTTTAAACATAAAGCAGGACTAAAGCCCCTGCAATATTAATCCTTCAGGGAACAATTAACTGCATTATCCATTTCATTTTTAAAGAAAATATTTACAGACTTATACAGAGTAAATATTTTTAAATGAACCCTAATTGAAATGGTCCTGAGCATCTTGCTTTTTTTGGCTCTCTGTGGCTAAAGAACCTCAATCATCACAAACACCAAGCTTCTCGCACACACATAAATGTAGTTCCATTAACCTCTCACAGACAGACCACTTTTCAAATGTTTAATGTTAACACAAAGTAAGTTATTCCCTTAATTTATCATTCCTTTATGTGGCTCCATAAAGAAAAGCCAATGGAAATGGCCAGGATCAAGCAATTACTTCTTTCCTGTGAGGTTGCCCAGCCTGCACTGAGGCTGGGATCGCTTGCAGGCAAGCTGGGGTTTGTCTTGTCACCCCAGTTTGGCTGCCATTTTCCACCGAAACATGTCCCTTTCCATTTTACAGTCTTTAATAGCAACAGGGAGCAAGCAGAAGGAGGAAGATTTACAGCCACATTGGGTTGACACAGCCCGCTTGCATTGCACCTCAGCAGCAGTAGTAATATACTACAGTGATGGGGGCAGGCATATAAATAGATTACATTAGATAGTAAGGAGACACTGGATCTGATTAACTTCTTCCAGTTTCCTAGGCGGGAGAACCACTCTGATGATCCATATTTTTACATGTAAATAAATATACACAAAAACACAGACAGAAGGGAAAGCAGAGGAAAGAAACACGGAAGAAAAGTTCCTTGGCTGACATCCCACATTTTGGACATGTCTACGTCCCACAGTGCAGCACTCAAAAGGTACATCGACAAGAAACAGGGAGAGATCAGAATTTGCTAACTTGGAAAGGAAAATTCAGCTGGAAAATGGCTATTTTCAAACACCCGAAAGACTATTACCAGCAACAGAGAGAAAAAACAGGAGTTAAAAGCTATAAAAATACACAGTACTTGGCATCCTCCCATGGCACTTTATATTACTAAAGGATTATAGATACAAATCAGTATTTACGATGGTGTTGCTAAATGAGTAAAACGGAGTTAATTATACGGAACAACATTCTTGGCACAATGACGCAACAAATGGCAGTGTAGTTGACTCAATGCCAAACTGAAGCTGTGGCAAGGCATCCAATCAACTGCAAAGAAGAGGAAGAACTGTATGGGGGCTAGGGCATGGGACTGGGAATTTGGAGACTTGGGTTTTGCCCCTTGACTTTGCCAATGTACTTCCCATAGCCTTGAAAATTATCACTGTAATACATCATTTTATTGTTACTAAAAAAATAAACATAAAAAACTATATCTGAAAATGGCTTTAGCCAAATCAACACAACTATACACGTGGGACAGTTGCTCAGCTGGTATAAATCATCATAGCCCCCTATTAACATCAATGAAGCCCCACGGATTTACAACAGCTGAAGAACTGGCTTGGGTTATTTATTTATTTGGAAATGTTCTGAGACATTGGGACTGGCAGATGGCTGCAACTGTCTCTGCAGGACTTGGCAGGGATATTAATGCCAAGGGTGCGTCGTAGCTGAAAAATATGCAAGGTGCTTGAACCCTCTAAACTCTCACTAGGTGCAATGTCAGCTGAGGATGCACAGCACCTTGCAGGATTGGGCTCTGCGTTTTCAGAGGAACCACTAATCTGAAAGCAAGGCATGGAACATAGGTTTATATTTTAGAATAGTTTATAATGGCATCATTTCAATGCTTTCTGGGATGTAACTGGTTGAAAGTACTTTATCTGCGGTTGCTGATCTATTCCTTCTTCCAACTGATGGAGAGGAGGTAGAAATCTTCTCTTCCCATAAAACATATTAAAATCACTTTGCTGAGCAAGTTTTAAATCTCTCTCTATCTTTGCATCTGTGCTAAGAAGTCTTCAGGATCTCTGCTGCCCCACCTAGGCTCCACAGCCATGGGGACAAACGCAAACCCTGAGGGAGCCAGACTTAAGAGTCTGCCCTTCCCAAGGCAGAAAGTGTGACTCCACTTCGCCAGCTGCCATGTATAGCAATTGGAACAGTAGGCCAGGGAAAAATGCAAGGGGAGGCAGTCCTGCCCTGTTATCCTGGGGGAGCAGAGACTATTCCACCTAATAGACAGACAGACAGAGAGTGGATGAGCCATGCTTCATGAGGACAGCTCTGTTCAGCCAGAGAATGAAGACAAGGCCACCAGGTCAAAGATAAACTCTCCTGCCCCACTAGCAACTAAGATAGAAAGTAGCAAAAAATCTCCCATGGAACTTCCCAAACTAACTGGAAGATGAGATGGAAGAGACCCCATCCTAAACCTGCTCCCTATGCTGCTGGAGCTACACAAGTTTTGCTACCGCCCTGGAGCATGAGCTCTCCGTCTCTACCTGTCATGCAGCTCTGTGGTCTCCCATCTAAACTAGGCTCTAGCACTCAGAGGATAAAGCGACATGATGTAGAGCCAGTTTATGATGTCATCAGAGGCTTGCAAGCCCCTTACAGCAATGTAAAGTTAGGTCAAGATTTGGCTTTTTGATACCATTGTCAGTTTTTACAGAACATGGCTCTATAGCCTAGTGTAAACCATTAATCCTAGCTATGATATCATTGATATACGTCACCATGAATACAGATTTTGTCAGAAACAACGAGGAGTCCGGTGGCACTTAAAAGACAGATTAGTCTGTTAGTCTTTAAGGTGCCACCGGACTCCTCGTTGTTTTTATGGATACAGACTAACACAGCTACCACTCTGTGATTTGGATATTAATTACATCAAATTGTTCACTGAAAGAACGACTGGTGAAATCCAGCAGCCTCATCACTCAAAGACTATAAAAACACGATAGAAGGGTGTTCCCAGTTTTAGTACTTGTGCTCCAAATTTTCAAGACATTATCTTAGGTGCTAACCCATGGCATTACAGAATAAAACAACATCAGTAGATTAACAGAATCTAGCAATCACCAGTGGCAAATGCCCTGTTCCGAAGCTGTGAAATCACCTGAGATTTTTCACCACACAAACTGGAACTGGGGGAGAGGAGTGGGAAAGTGGAAATCTCTGTCCAGAAACACCTCTCCAAAAACACCCCAGTGCATAGCTCAAGATGCTAATAAAAATTATATACCGCAAAACCCCATTGTCTTGCTATGATACTGAGCAAAAAAAAATATTTAAAGAGGATTCTTATCTTAGAAATGACCCATCAATTTCTAAATAAATAAATAATGACAACTTCTGCATTTCCCTTAGACTTGCAAGCATAACCTCTGAACTCTAAACGAGGAAAAAAGAAAATTCTAACTCCCAGAAGCTGAATCTGTGACCCCAGTCACCTCTGCTGCCAATCTTAAAATCAGTTGACCATAACATGACAATTTTTTAAGCAGAACTCCATACTAAAGTCAATAGGAAATTTTACTTAAAAGCTTATGGCATGTTCTGGCCCACTGACTGACATTTTTATATTTTTATTGTGGCTTGATTCATGTTTGAAGATACAGTTGATAAATACATTACCTGAAATATAAGAACAAAGAAATGCTGCAGATGAGAAAAGATCACACATTTATGAAGTTTCTCTGTTGTTTAAATGCCATTAAATTACATAGAAGCAGTCTTGTAAAAGTCTATCAACAACCATTAAAAATATGTTGAACACTATTTGTAATTCAGTACCATGTTTGTTATAACTAACCACACGCTTTCCCTTATTTGAAAAACAGGCTCAGATAACTTAGTTTGGGAGGGCAAAGGTTACTCTGGGATAATGACTGTTTCATTAGAAAGGTGGTATTCATGGTGTTCTCAGGACTGCATTTCACAGCTATTTAACACTTACTTTTCCATTGACAATTTGCATTTAAAGGTAGTTGATTTTTTTTGTACTGATCCAAGCCACATGAAAAGTAACTTGAGTTGTTTTTAATGCTATAAATACAAAGTATAGAGGATAAATTCCAGACCTTCACTACATGCCCAGCATCTATGCTTTTGGTAATATCTGTAAAACGCCAACTGACTCCAAAGACATTACATGGGATTAACTGAGAGCAGAATTTCATAGGTGTTTCAAGAAGGTTTTTTGTTGATCTCTGATCAATTTTTTTAAAAGCAGAATATACGAAGCATTGTGAAAAGCATATCTTAAAGCAATGGAAATAAAATAAATTTACTTAAAGTATTAAAACAGTAGTAAAATAGATGTAATAATAAATAAAATAATAAGAAATAATAAATAAAGACAAAAGAAATAATAAAACACCGATGATGTCACTGCTATTTGTGCTTTAAATCTGAGCTCAGAAAGCAGAAAAAAAAAAGTAATTTTATGTACAAAGTTTATATATGTTGACACAGGCAAGCTAAAGATTTTATAAAAAATAAAATCCATGTTGTAGTTTGGTATTTACCTTCATCCTCTTTGTTGCATTTGTTGCTTTTCACAGTAATGAATAAATGACCATTGGAGTCCAACTTCCCCAGTCTTAAAGCATGTCCATTTAAGAGCTTTTTAGGGTTTGCACTTGCTGAACTATCTGAGAACAACCTTGGACTATGATCCTTACCATGTGAACTCTTACGTGACCTATCTAAAGACCGAGACCTTCTCGGTTCAGCCCTGCAATCTGCTACTGAGAAAGTTTCATGAGGTATAAGCAGTTTTTCTGAGGCCTGTGAACAATCTTCAGGCCTTATGACCTCTATTGTTTCCTCCTTTGGTGCAAGTCTATCAGCAAGAGAATCTTCCTTCTCAATTTGTTTCTCACGAGATTTGGTCTCAGAGATTCTCAAGTCATCATTCACTTCACATGAGTCCACTGTCTGGTCTGAAGTCTCCTCTTCTACAATTGACTCCTCTGAGCTGGAACCAAGATTCATTGGGTTTTGCAAAGCTTCCATGTATGACTTTCTAAACAAGCGCCTTGTCTCAAAATATGAAGAATCCCTGAGTTGTCGTCTTCTTGGACAAGGGCTGCTCAAATCCGTGCTGAAAGTTATGCTTTTGATGCTGTTCTTTCTCTCCATTATGGGAGATAACGCTCCACCTTTTAATACTTCAGATGTCATTTCAGGCTCAGTGGCCTGTGGTAAAACCCTCTCTATCATGCTGGGGCAGTCCTTAGTCAACGTGCTGAGATTTACGTACTCTCCTTTGCTCTCCTCAGCTGGGGTCCCAGGGAATTCTAATTCAGCCCTACTCTCTGCAGTATGAACTGGACTATACACTTCACTCCCTTGGTTTCCATGATTATCGGTAAGTGTTGCTTCTATGACAGTAGAGCCAGTATCATTGGAAGTGGAACTGTCATGTGAACTATTGCTCTCCATGGTCTGTGTCATTGTTTTCACATCAGTATTATTGCTGATTAACCGATCGAGGAGAGGGCTATTGGAATAATTATGCAGGATTGTTTTAGTTGTAGGGACAAAAATAGGATTCACTATATTCTTCCAAGGTGTTCTATATACAGCTGGGCCAGTGGTAAGTAAGCAGCTTTGCAAGGGAACACTCTCCCTTTCACAATTTACATTTTCCAAAAATTCTGCAGTGAAAACACATCCATACATGGTTTCAGGTACAATAACTTCTTCCATTCCTTGTCCATGTCGGGAGAGGCATTTTAAAACTAGTTTTGCTGACTGCTTCCCAGACGGAAGAATTTGTAAGTAGAAATCCCCTGGTTTCAGACGGACTCGGTGAAGAGATGCTAACTGTACTACCACTTTTTCATGGATGCACAGTGGCCAGCCTTCATGGTAGAAAATAAGACCAGTGTATTTAGCCTGTAAGGAAAAGAGAAAGCAAAATGTCTGAGGAAAAAATCTTTATCTTGGACGACAGCATTTTGTTACAAATATAAAACAGTGGGGTCAAATTCTGCACTGACTACTCCATCATTGAGTTCCATGCAATTAGACAGGGCTAAAAAAGGTTTGTGTAACATAAACATAACACAATTTAAATAGTGTATCTTAAGATAAGGTGATATGAATATTATGCCTCTTCCCATTAGAATAAGCTACTAGTTTACTGTTACATCGTATCTTGCAGCCTAATTACATTAATAGAACTGATAATAGTTCCAGGAGAAGGCAGATCTCTGGGGTATAGAAAAAAGGGCAGCAATAGGCCACACACAGACATGCAGATAGGAGCCATTAGGAGAAAGCTTAAGATAAGCCAGAAGGATAAAAATGGCAGCAAAAATAAAGGAATGGTAAACTCTTCCCTTCTAACCTAACATTCAGAGTCACCATTGCTCTGGGCATTCTCACAGTCAATGAGAAGCAAAATGTGGACAATACTGCCTATGATATGTAATAAAACATTTTTCAATGCACACAAACTACAAATTTCCCACACTGGTATTTAAAATAGTACCAGATACATACTAGCTGGTGGGTGACAGGAAAATGAGGCAGGGGCATCAGTGAGATCCAGGGTAACATTCTGGTAAGAAGTCCAGGTCCCGCTCTGTCTATAGTTGCAGGGAAGGGGGAGGGTGCTGACCCTGGACTCTGCTTAGGGGATTTATTTTTCATATTAACCCCTGGTTTGCAGGTGTCTGATAAATCTGAAGCCCCTCGCTCTGCCAGCTTAAAGGGAGCTATTTCTCTTCCCCCATTTCCCCACTCCAGAGTCTTTAGGCTGTTGGGGCAAAAGTATATCCATTTCTTCCTCTAACCAGTGACCTAGATGTTGCTGGGGTGTGAGAGGGATGTCTCTGCTACTGTACCCACTTCCCATCCTCCTGGCTGCTGTGAGGGGAGTGGAGAGAGGTCTTTACTATTAAACCCTTCCTCCAGTTTCCTGACTGTTGCAATGGGGGAGGTTTTTCACTACTGAGATTTTCCTCCCCTATAAAGAACTTCAGTACCTGCCTCTGATGCTACTAGAAGTTTTCCCAAAATGCAGTATTGCCAACCCCAGGCATTCAGAATCATAACACGGGCCCACAAAAATCACAAGATTTTAAATATATTTGGGGTTTTTATTTTTGAGCACTTAGGGGTAATATTTTCTACTTTTTGTCTGAAACCATGAGAGCTAGAAATTTACCTTAAAAAAGAAAACCAAGATATTCTCATATTCACATGACTGTAGGAATTGGGGCTTTAAGTAAAATATCAAATATCACAAGACTCATGATAAAACTGTGGAAGTTGGTAACACTAAAACTGATGTGATTCTTTTCAGCGTCACTGCTGCCCACAAGACTGTCACCTGGGCAAAGCTAGGAGTAGCAGTAGAGGTACTGGAGTTGTCTGGCAGACTCAGAAAGACAGCACAGCACTGGGTCACTTTTGGAAGGTTTTGTTTTACAACCATAAGAGCTCAAGGATTATTTTTTTTAAAATATAACAATGAAAGCTTAAGTTTTGCAGAAATTGATAGTGTCTTAAGACCTATAGGGAAAATTTTCTACTCTTTGCTAGGGAAAGGCTTTGGATTTTTCAAGCTTTGTACTAACATCAACTATAATTTTTGCACTTGAAATCAAACTAGTTCTGGTTCTGAGCAACTTGCAGGAAGTTAATAATCTAATCAGGCATTGGGGAAAAAAACAGTAAGAAGGAAAACCATAGAGTTAGGAAGCAGGAAGGACTTGAGGCTTTGGGGCTGAAAGGGGGAGCACACCCTCTCTTTCCCACCTCCTTGGGGAATATGGTCTTATCTCCTTCTTCTTTGAACTTGTATGTGTAGGTCCCACCCAATGATTCTCTTACCATGTCCCATGGAATGCTGAGGATCCCACATGGCTGGCGCTCTTTCCTACCTGGCTGGATACACTCCCCAGTTTCCCTATGCCTGCATCCCTTTTTCAAGAGATTCTCCCTACTGAGCCTCATAGAGCAAGATGTTTTCTTGGAAGTAAACACTGAGTTTGCCTGGGCAAAAGGAGTAAAGCACTGATCAGTTCATTCCATTGGCTATGCAGAACACTGCACAATGTCTGCATGCTATTAGGCTGAGCAGAGAAATGCATGAAAAAGTGGCCTTTCCTTTCTGGGGATGTGTGAGGAGCATAAAAAGAATAAACCTGTGATTTCACAGATAATTGGTAAAGATGGAGAGGTATCAGAGTAACCAAAACAAGGAGGGTCTCCAGGAAATATGTCCATGACACCTTTATCTTGAGGAAAGGGTGAGGTGGGGGCAGAGATGGGAGAGGAACCTGAAGTTCACTTTACACAAAGATTCATTGTTTGTAGTTAAGTTCCAAATATTGGGAGAGCAAGGTACTTGCTTGAAACACCCTGTTTGCTTGCCAGGAATGGAATATTTTGGTCTCCAATTTCCATTCACTCTCCACAGTCTCTCTTTTTGCCTATATATCTCTAATGACAAATGACTCTTGCCATTTGGAATCACCATTTATTTTCATATATGCCCGACTGCCTCAAACATTCTTTTGGATTTAAAACTTATTCAACTAATGCCACAGTAACAGCAAATGCATTAAAAAAGAACAACCAGCAATAAGGTTACAAGAGTAAAGGGGATGTGCATTCCCTTCCCCTTACTAAAAAAAGCCAATAGTACAGGAACAAAATATCAAGACTGAATGTTAGCTTAGCCAAAAATGCACCTGCTGCAGAATCCTCCTGCATCTGGGACTAACTAATACAACATACAACTGACAGGGTCATAACATGCAGGCAGAAAGATTTAAGGACTGTAGCAGCTGTAAATAAAGTAATTTATACAAACTGTACTGTCTGACATAAGGAAAGCTCTGCATGTTTCAAGAAAAGTTATTTTAAAATAAAATAAAATAATCCCACCCTACACAATCTTGCTTCTTTCTATTCAGTTTCTGTTAAACTCTTTATTAGTGGTCACTAATGCTAACATATATATGACACTGTTTAGCTCATAAGAGAAATATTTTAGTGACATGATGGGGAGGGTGAATTCTTCTGAGAGGATCTATACACGGAGGGGAGCTCCCCATTCTCACTAGCAGGGTAGTGACAGCTGATTCCTTGGTACCATCACCCCATGCCACAGATCCTAGGCAGATTGCAGGTTAGGGGCACATAGCCCCACCATCCCGCCTTAAATCTGCTAAGAAGTAAATGCAGTGTCTGGTTCTGCAGGGTGGGGGGTAACCCCTGCCCTCCTCAATGGTACCATGTAAGGAAAACTCCACAAAAGGAACCTCACAGTTTCCCTCCCCCCATGGCCGCCTCCTATTGTGCTTTCATGGTGTTGTGTGTTTTTGCCCCCCATTCCCGCAAGAAAGGAACAATTTCTCCCTTCCCCTCACCAGTAGTTCTTTCACACAATTGTCAGAATATACATTCAGTCGGGGGGAGAGAGGGGGAGAAGATAATTCACCCAAATGAAAATAAGAAGCAGCCCTCACTATTTTTTTCTGCCTCTATTTATTTCCCAGCTTTTATTCTAATCTAATTAGTCACTCTTCATGGCAAACACAATTACAGCTTATTTCTTTTAGTATTCTGTAATAGTAAACTCAGTGTTTAAAATTCACAGTAACAGATGAAAATTACAAACAGCTTTAACTGTTTGGAATGAAGGCTAATGATCAGTAATGTTACATAGCTTATGATGAAGAGATTTCATTTTAAAGTAAAAAAAGTACACTTGTGTAACTAGAAAGATGAAAAGAAAAACAGTCACAGAGACTAGTGTTATTTACATGTCACTACAACAAAACAAAAGGTTTGTCAAGACTTTACTGTAACATTCCTATTCTATAAATTTACTCATTTTGACAATTACTTCATTATTTTTGGAAAAAACAAAGAAGCTGAAATTTGCAGTTTTATCCCTAACACTATACGGTCTTTAACCAGGCAACATTCACTTGCAGAAAAACCTTCTTTTCCCAGCTCCTCAGCTAATGACACTTTTAACAAATTGTTGAATTCTTCAGAGACCATGAAAGGTGATGAGAAGTTCAGAAGGAAGCCAGCCATCCAGAACTGGATTTAAAAACTGTTAAGAAAAAGGATTTTCAACCACTTCCAGACTGACAATGAGATGTGCTGGTCCAGTGGGCATAAGAGGAAAGAAAAAGCTGAGGCTGGGAATGTTGGAAAGCAGCTTTCAATTGTTAGTGCAGTCAGCTTCACAAGCTCTCTAAAAATAATCTGTCTTGATACCAAAGAAACACTATTCCCTAAAAATCAATCTAAAGAATGACCTTGATAGATTGCCTGCTACTAAACATGGTAGTGGCTGTTTCTCTAGGCATAACTCATACTCAAACTCCCCTGAAAAGTTATTGTAGCGTTACTGAGGAAACGTAATACTACTTCATATGGAGAATTCACTTGTAGAAATAGAGTGTCAAGCAGCAGAGAAGGAATTACTATTTTTCCAAGAAACAAAGAACGACCCCTCCCCCCCCCCCCCCCCCAAAAAAATATATTGCAGCCATAACAATCATCACAAAAATACATCTAGCACAAGAAGACCAACTGGAAAGAGACTGGGTGAAATCCTGGCCACTTGAAATCATTCAGGGTCATTTGTACAAGGTGTACCAGTCCACACTAAAGAGGTGCAAATTCTAGTAAACACTAGAATGTTGGGCACTAACTGGCCTGCGTGGACCCTCCTGGTGTGCACTAAAAGTTCCCTAGTGAAAGTTAATATAGTCCCACCACAATGTGCACAAGGAAAACTTTTAGTGCACTCCAGCAGAGTCCTCATGGGCCAGTTAGTGCACAACACACAAGTGTGCACGAGAAGTTACACCCTTCTAAGGCAGACTAATGAACCATGCAGACAAGCCCTTACTTCAGGGAAC